ACATATATATATATATATATACAGTACAGGCCAAAAGTTTAGATATTGTTTAATTACTAAAGTCGGAAATGAATTTAAAAAATGAATATAGGCTGCCAGCCACAAACTGAAACGACATTGTCACATTGAGAATGTTTGCTCACACTCACCCATCTGAATCCCAAGTAGTAAAATGAATTAATGATATTGCTAAAGGCTGGCAATACAACAACGCTCAAATGAATAAATGACTGATGCAAACTGAGCATATGTTACGGTGCGTGTCCCCTCCGTCCACAGCTGTGTTCAACTTGTTTGTTTTATAACAGGATAAACAAATATTAAATGCATTATTTTGTTTTTACGTGTGAATAAAAAAATAAGGAAATCCACGTGCTTTTTCCATTTTCTTCTTCAAATGGAGTAGAAATTAGACCACAACCATTAATTAACTTGTGTTTGGCCTTTACTGTTCAAATAATATTATGCTCCCCTACTGCATAGATAGACAGATAAATAATAATAATATTAATAATAAAAGGGACGCTGCTGTGCCTCGTGCGTAAATGCGCACAGCGTCTCTCTTTATGGGGAAACGCGCTTATTGTTTCTGCTGCGGGGTGGGGTGCTCGCTGCAGGTATTTAATACCCTCAGGTAGATATCTTTTAACGTTACAGTCTTTTGTATATTTTGTTATGATCCTTCCACTGTAGCTCTGCAGGGAAACACTGTACAGGGGAATAAAAGGTGGGAAGCAGTAACTTCATTGATTATTTAAATCTCCAGTTACGCCAAGTATATGCGCAATTACGCACGAGGCACAGCAACATTACTTCATTGATTATCTATCTATTTTTTTTAGATTCAATTTTATTTATATAGTGCCAAATCACAACAAAAGTCATCTCAGGGCATTTTACACATAGAGCAGGTCTAGATAATACTCTTTAATCTATCTATCTAGGCCATAAGCATAGCCGATGCCAATGTTTTGAGATGCAGTGGGGCAGATAATATAGATATAACAATAAAGGCGAAAAACAAGTAGGATTCTGGTTTTGGTTTAATTTCTATATCAATTAGCATTTGAAGACGAAAATGGGGAAAAGCAAGTGGATTTCCGTTTTTTTTCTCATTCACACGAAAATCGGAAAATTAAAATGATGCATTGTAT